GAAGAAGAAGAAGAAGAAGAAGAAGAAGAAGAAGAAGAAGAAGAAGAAGAAGAAGAGGGTTTTTTTCCCCTCCAAGGGCTCTTGAAGTTCTGTCACACCAACCACCCTTCTCTGTCCATGCAGAAATGCCAGTTCAGAGGAGAATCTGCAAATCTCCAGCTACCACAAGTCTCTCTCCTTAGCAGGGGGCTTGCAGGATCGGGGTCTGGGGGTGGCTTTCTGCGCGAGGCTGATTCACACTCCATTTGGTCTGTACACATTCCAAGCAAGATCCCTCACTCCAGTTCATCCCTCTTGCTCCCAACCCTTTGAACGTGGAGTTGGTGCCCCCACCCCCAATCTGGGTATATCTCCCTCAGGAAAGCTTAAAGTCTGAAAAGGGACAAAGCCAAGATGGAGGACAGTGGGATCTGCACATTTGTCTCTTTCAGAATTTCAAACATTAGCAAAGGCAGGCAGAGATAGGAGACCGGGAATGGAGGAGAAGTGGGGGTGGTGAAAACATCCATCAATGCCCCCCCCCCCAATATCTTACAAATGATGCTGGAGATGGCAGAGCCCGTCTGCCCTAAATGAAAAACATCCCTAAAATAGATCAAATCAAGATCTCTTCATGCAGGCAGACATCCAACAGATGGAATTTTCTAGCGTTTTCGTGCCAAGGAAAAATTCCCATGGAGTGCCAGGAGACGGCTGACTCCAGCTTTTGCCTTCCCTCCGGGATCAGAAAAGAGACGCCATTACCCAAAGCGAGAAAGGCTGAAAATATCTTGTATAAACTCACCGCCTGCACAAATACTGGAAGGTTTTGCAGCAAGGATTTCAATGCAAGATTTCTTCAGAATCTAGAAGGCAGAGGAAAGAAGAACATGGCTTAGCAACCTTGGGTGCATCCAGACGGAGAACTCTTAGAATCACTCAGAGGGATGGCTGGGGTCGGTGGAACATCGGAAGTGCTCAACAGGCCAAACCGCGTAAGACCTGGGGAATGGAAGGAGGGATCCCACCCCTTCCACAACCCCTGCTTTTCTTCTGGAAGTCAAGACCTACAAGGAATGGTCAAAGGATCCACGTAGGGGCCTGGCCCTCATCTTCTGCTCACAGAAGTACTCAAAACTTTTCCACAGTGCAAAAGTTTTTGCACACCCAGCAAGGAGAAGAAGGGCTTACTTGATCACCCCAGGTACCTGGGGGAGCAAGGGCAGAAGGGTCTGCAGGAGAGGGGTCAACAAAGTCAAGATGGGGACTGCACTTAAGTGATCCAAGGTCCTGCAGCTATGGCCACCCTCTTGACTTTTTTGACCTCCCCTTCCCCCGGATGGCTCTGGCAAGGGGGCAAATGCAACACAGTGATCACAATTTTGTGGTACAAATGCTGCAATGTATGTGTTGGCATCAGGCGTCATCACACTGTGGCCTCCTTTGTGTGATGGTATCACGACACCCAAGTTGTTTTGAGGTCATGGTGGCTTGTTGCTACTTATCTTCACCTTTCAGTCAACTAGCAGGAAAGTGACTTCTAGAAAATGTTCCGATTCCAAATTCAGTGTGGTTCTGGCGGGGATGTCTGCAGGGATGGGGTCAAAAAAGTCAAGATGGCGGCTGCAACCATGCTACCAAAGCCTTTTTTAGGTGCATCATGTACCTAAACCATGGTTGGGGCTGCCTGCTTGACCTTTTTGAGAAACAGACACACTGTGGACACCCCTGGTTTGGATGGCTACGCCCTGAGAATTTTTGCTCTTGCGCTGGGATAGAGCTGAGTCTTCTCAAATGTTATTGTTCCTTGGTCAATAAAGAATGCAGGACTTTTCCGTTGCTTTTTTTCCTACTTCTTTCTTATACGTTGTTTTAATCTTACTTACAAAGAATGGTGTTCATTCATTCATTCATTCATTCATTCATTCATTCATTCATTCATTCATTCATTCATTCATTCATTCATTCATTCATTCATTCATTCATTCATTCATTCATTCATTCATTCATTCATTCATTCATTCATTCATTCATTCATTCGTTTCAATTGATTTATATGGCCCCCTATCTCACCAGCATGACTCTAGGCGGCTAATGAAGGTTAAACAATGCAATATAAAAAGGACATTTCGCACCCAACTCAAAGTGGCTCCCAAAAACACCCTTCACCAACTGTGTGGGCTCCATTACTCTGTTGTGTGAATGCAGGTACCAGATCTTTCAAAGAGCTGGTGGAAAATGTTGCATGAACCTCATCACGATATAACATGGCAGAATTAGCCGTCATCCACAGGATAAAAGAAAGGCTCTCCTGTCAAGGCAAAACGCAACTTGGGTTGTCCACCTTTAAGATATAACTGGCTCCCTGTTGAATGTCCAGTCACAAGATTGAGGACTGGGGCGTGCTGGCGATATCCTACTAAATGTTTCAATGTTAGAAGAATTCATTTAGATCAGTGTTTCTCGACCTTGGCAACTTGAAGATGTGTGGACTTTAACTCCCAGAATTTAGATCAGTGTTTCTCGACCTTGGCAACTTGAAGATGTGTGGACTTTAACTCCCAGAATTTAGAT